CCCGTCGCGCTGCGCCGGACGGATGAATAAGCCAATCAGCATTTAGATTTTGAGGAGTTGACATCTTTGTTCTCTCAGTGCTGCAGCGAAGGCGTGTTTTAGGTTTTTAATTTCTTTTTTACTATTTATTTTATTTTATTTCTATTTCATCTTTTTGCTTTACCTTCAACTTTGTAATTCTGGCCGGAATTATGTGATCGTTGGAAAATATTCCCTCTACTGTGTATCAACTAGCTCTAGATAATTTAATATAAATGAGATCATACTGTGTATCAACTAGCTCTAGATAATTTAATTTAAATGATGAAAATCTCTATCTATAAAAAGATAAAAAGTCAACAGCAATTAAAATAACCACAATTCTTAAACTTTGAATATACGAAATTGTTTTTTTTTTCTCTTAAAAATGTATCAAGCGATCATTTTGGGATCCCTTCTGTTTATAACGCTTTACATTTTAAAGCGTAAGCGTGAACCAGAATTGGTAAGATAATTGATTTAAACAGAATTTTATCGCTTTTTCTCCTTTTTCTCAATTTTATTTTATTTTATTTTCTTAGACCATGCCGCCACTTGTTTCTTACAAATTCCCAATTATTGGCCATACTTTTGATTTTTTTTTAAATCCCGAAAAATTTCTTAAACAATGTAGAGAAGAAGTTCGTATATCAACGAATTTTTTTTTTTTTTTTTTGGCGTAAAAATTCAATTAACGTTAATTATTAATTATATATAATAGTATGGTGATATCTTTTGTCTATATATATGGGGTCAAGTGAGAGTATTTGTTGGTATAGAGATTGCTCGTATTTTTTTTTGCATAAATATAAAATATTTTATATATTCTAATTTATAAATTCTTTTTAATTACTGCACAAACTTGTAGGAAAAGAACATTTTGGTGAAGTATATTCAAGAGATGATGTGTTTGATGTTTTAAAAGCATTCAACAAACGATTTCCGATAGATGTATTATGTCCAGATTTGCTGAAAGTTTTACCAGTTGCACCAAAAACACTTAAAGACACGATCTTTAGCAAATTAAAACTTTATTCTGATCGTATGCAAAAAAGGGTTTATTTATCAACTCAAAAACATTTTGGAGATTGTGATGAATCAAAAATTTTTTATAATCTATTTGAAATTGTAACAAAAATTATTTCTGATCCTATTGCAAATATTATTATTGGTGAAGTAAGTATAGATACTTTTTTTTTTATGATACTAGTTAATTTTGAAAGAAAAAAAGTTTTAAAAGAAAATTACTTCTTTTTATAGGAGGAATCACAACATGAAGAAGTTTTAAATTCATTTGCAAACTTTATAATAGATAGCATGATATTTTTAACTATTCCACCATTTCTTGATATAATTTATCCAGGACTTCAAGAATATGTTAATCGTATTCAGATAAGATTAGGATTATATAATCCAGCAGTTAAACATCGAAAACCACTCCTTAAACATATAGAAAAGCAAGTATGTAAACGTTTACAAGAGAAAGAAAAATATGGTGACTCTTGGAAACGTCCTGATGATCATCTTCAAGATCTAATGGAAGAACATGATCCTAATAATATTAGTTGTCCGTATCTTTTAGACAGAATATATCTAATCATTTTTGCATCAATTCATACAACGGCAATAGCCATTACAAATGTTATTTTAAGTTTAGCATCAAGACCCGAGTACATGCAAGAATTATATGAAGAACAATTAAAAGTTCATAAAGAAACGAATGTAAATGGTATAATTCCATTTGAAGCTCTTAGTGATATGAAAAAATTAGATAGTTTTATTAGAGAAACATTAAGATTAAGTGTAAATGTTGCGGGAATTGACCATCTCGTAAAGAAAGATTATACGTTCTCTAATGGATTGCAAATACCAAAAAATTGTATAACTAGTATTTATATTGATGATGTTTATCGAGATGAACCAAAATCATTTGAACCATTCAGACATTTAGATATAAATTTAGCATCAAAAGTCACTAAAAATTTTTTGACATTTGGAAATGGTAAACACTCGTGAGTATATTTATGTATATATGTATTGTAGTACAGTAAGTCAACAACTCAGTTATTATTAAATTATTTAGATGCCCTGGAAGACAACTTGCTGTAAATAATATTAAATTTTTTATGCATAACGTTATCTTAAAATATAATTTTCGTACAGTAAGTAGTAAAATTGAAGAAAGCAGAGGAACGGGTTTTACGGCATTACCAGTTGAAACAAGTACTGCTGGTGTGATTTTTGAAAAGAGGGTTTAAGTTAAATTTTATGCAAACTAAAATCCATTTTATTTTGCAAATTCTACTATGATACTTAACAAATTATCAATAATTTTTATTTATATATAAATTAATATATAAACTTCTTAATAAATTTTTAAAATTTTAGTTTTATGCACCAGAAAATTTCTGTAAAGCTCAAAATATTGCTTAATTTGAGATAAACTAAAATCCATTTTATTTTGCAAAATCTTCTATTATACTCAACAATAATTTTGTAAATAACAGATAATATTACTTGAGATTTATGTTATCACGTGATCATAAATGATCGACAAATTTACTATTTTCAGTTTTACTATCTACATGAAACTCTAGTTTAGATACCCTATATGTTAATTATGACTTTAGTTAAAACTTGTTGTATTTATATTCTTAATCAATGATTATTTTTATTTTTTTGTGATTTGATTTTTTCTATTTTTTTCTTAAA